ATGTGATCAGTCAGTCACTATTAAGTGTTTTTATTAAGTATTTTACCTGGTATGTGATCAGTCAGTCACTATTAAGTGTTTTTATTAAGTATTTTACCTGGTATGTGATCCGTCAGTCACTATTAAGTGTTTTTATTAAGTATTTTACCTGGTATGTGATCCGTCAGTCACTATGAAGTGTTTTTATTAAGTATTTTGCCTGGTATGTGATCAGTCAGTCACTATGAAGTGTTTTTATTAAGTATTTTACCTGGTGATGTGATCAGTCAGTCACTATTAAATGTTTTTATTAAGTATCGTACCTGGTACTGTGACAGTCAGTTACTATTAAGTGTTTTAATTAAGTATTTTACCTGGTGCTGTGATCAGTCAGTCACTATGAAGTGTTTTTATTAAGGATTTTGCCTGGTATGTGATCCGTCAGTCACTATGAAGTGTTTTTATTAAGGATTTTGCCTGGTGCTGTGACAGTCAGTCACTATTAAGTGTTTTAATTAAGGATTTTACCTGGTGCTGTGATCAGTCAGTCACTATGAAGTGTTTTTATTAAGTATTTTACCTGGTGCTGTGATTAGTCAGTCACTATACAGTGTTTTTATTAAGTATTTTACCTGGTGCTGTGATTAGTCAGTCACAATACAGTGTTCTTATTAGGTATCGTACCTGGTATGTGATCAGTCAGTCACTATAAAGTGTTCTTATTAAGTATTTTACCTGGTGCTGTGATCAATCAGTCACTATACAGTGTTCTGATTAAGTATTTTATCTGGTGCTGTGATCAGTCAGTCACTATTAAGTGTTCTTATTAAGTATCGTACCTGGCGCTAGGATCAGTCAATCACAATAAGTGTTCTTACTAAGTATCGTACCTGGTGCTGGTATCTGTGTGTCAATAGGATGTGTTCCTGAGAAGTCTGAAATCTGTAGACAAGGTTCTCGTCATCGGATGGCAATAGCCTACCGACATGTAACAGCGGTGTTTTTGTATGGATCCTTCTAGAGGTGGCTAAAAGGATCGGATGGTCAGGCTCGCTGACTTAGTTGATCTATGTCATCTTATCCCAGTTGCGTGGATCAATGCTCATGATATCAATCACTGGATTGTCTTGTCCAGACTCGATTATTTACAGACCGTCGTCATATAGCTGGATAATTGCTGTGTGCAGCGTTAAACAAACAAACAATGAAAATGTTTATTTTACATACGAGGGCTGGTGAAAAGGTTTTCAGTCTGACTAACTTCAACTAGGGAAAGGAAACTAGTCAATGTAGTACATTGTTTGTGTAGTTCATTGCGATTGGATTTGGTCTGTTGAGTCCGTTTGTGTGAGTGACAGCCAGTTGAACGTGGTGGGGGTCCACAGAAATGGAAAAGAACGAGTACCGAGCAGTTGTTTTTTTGTTGTTGTTTTTTTGGGTGTGTGTGTGGGGGGGGGGGGGGGGGGGGGGTCAGTGCAACATGTGTGCATATGTGTGTATATATACGTTTTGTTGCAGCGACACAGACACCCTCTCGAGGTAATCACAGAGGAGTAGCCTATATCTTCCTTAGCGCATGTAGTAAGAAAACTGTGGCTCGGGTGAAACAAATCTTTACTGAATACGATGTGGACGTCAACAGCAGAGGAAAGCACGGGAGAACACCATTGATGTTCGCAGTACTGCGAAGAGATAATATAGATATGGTGGAATATCTTGTGAGCAAAGGAGCTGATATGTCACTCGTTGATGATAACGGTAACACCATCCTTCATCTGGCCTGTGAAGGAAAAGGCAAGAAGATCGTCAAGTTTGTGCTCTCACAAGGCAAGGTGGATATCAACGCCAGAAACAGGGAAGGGAAGACAGCGGCCGACATAGCGAAAGAATTGCGACGAAAACGTGTGTATGATCTTCTCAAGTCACACATAACCATATAGAAAGATTGTTAATTAATAAGTATGGTCACTGCAGGACAATTAGCTGACATAACTGTTAGTTGATAATTGAACGTGTACCAGACAAAGCAAAGTATTCGTTTACACGGAACGCTGAACCCAGCTGATGTTTGTTGTTAGTACAATCTTTGGACGATGACAATTTTCCCCCGGTGTCTTTTGATCACATATATCAACACAGTGGGGTAAAAGTTTAACCTTCGAGGCTTCATAAGTATAAAATGTTTTGAAATCTGGTCAATTATCATCACATAAATAAAATGATCTTCTCTGATGTCATCATTACTATTGATATTTTTATATCAATATTGTGTTTAATAATTACATATGCCTAGTTCTTAATCTCTGGCTTAATAATATAACACGTGCTCCAAATCAATATCACCAACCATTATTAACCTAAACTTCCATTTTAGCTCACCAGCCGTTTTGTGAATGCCATTGTTGTCCATTTAATACCGAGCGCCAGGCAGGGTAACAACAAATACCATTTAACGTCTTTTGGTATGACAGGGATCGAACCCCCGACTTCCCGCTCTTCTGGCGGACGACCTACCACTAGAACACGGAGGTGTTCATCAGGCTTGTGAAAGGGAAATGATTTTATCTATATGGTGTTTCTAAAACAAACTCCTCACAGAATTCAAATGTCATGGCAACCATATTATACAAAACATGAATTGCCATTGCTTGGGTATCTTTTCCAAACACATATTGGCGTTTGTCACATCTGTAGTTTGGAGTAGGGGCTAACATACAGGTTTCTTTGGCCATATTATGAAATTGGGCCATCATTCGACCTGCCATGGGCAATACCTTCCATATTAGGTACAAGATCTGAAACTCATATCTTAGGCCCCACCCCAAATATAGGAGAAAACAGCATAGAATAAAGCTATAAAACCCTTTCCATATCCAATACAAATCACTGCATAAAGCAGAGTGGATTGTACAATTCCGACTATATTATGAGCATGTGTTTATGAATCACTGTCAAATAGTAATGAGATCAGAGTGGCACCCAGCACAAACACATGCAAAGGCAAGGCAATTGTTCGCCTGAAAAAACATGTCTTCCATTAAACTTTTTCAAAGCTTTACTGAGACCTTGAATGTTGTAACCTTGATCAAACAACTTCTGAGCAAGAGTCGTATGACGCTTTTTGAAATCTTTGTAGAAAGAGCATTATCGATTGTATCTCAAAAGTTGTGAAATGTACGCACCAAGGCTGGAGCTGCTGGAATACTGCTCGACATGAAGGAAAAGTTGACTATCAGAAAGTTGAAGTCATGATCCCTCTTGTCAAACAGTCTTATGGAGAGTCTTTAGTCACTCTGAATCTAAATATGAAACAGATGGGGCGGTCTCGCTGACCTCCTTTATTTCTAGTTCAGGTGGGTAAATCAGTGGAAGGGAATTGGCTATTTGATTGTTATTGAACGATATCAGATCATCGATATACCTGAAGCTTAAGTTAAACTTCTTGGCCAAATTACCTTGTTTTGACTTTGCCAATCCGAAAAGCGATTCCGATATGCATAAAAAAACAGATCCGCAAGAAGGGGAGCACAATCGGTGCCCATAGGGGTGCGTACTTCTTGCCTAAATGCCTTCTCAGTAAACTTCAGATGGCATTTGTGAGCAGTTCAAGCAGTCAGCTACCCCTTGTAGTTCCGCCGTTTCAAGACAGATATAGGGTCAATTATGCACTTCATAATAAAAGCATGAAACTTGGCACAGTTGTAGATAATGACATTCCAAATATTTTCAGATATGGGGTCACTCGAAACAATCCAATATGGCCGCCAAATCCAATATGGCCGTCATGGAGGAATGAAATTCCAGTATATTTCATGTATATAACATGATCCTAAACCTAGAGATCTAATGAAAAATGAACGTTTAGGAATGCATTTACTCAAAACTAAACCTGTAAAGTAAATGACTTGAGCATAAAAGACTATTTATCTTGAATTAGGTAGTCTAAAGTGTAAAAAATGAAAACAACATTTCTTTTTTCTTCTTGTAACCATCTACTCCTGGCCGGTCGGCGCTTACAAGCAGGGACCTATGAGGATCCCGGGTAGGACTGTAGGTCCCAAGCAACCTATGTTATCTCCCCATGGGTATTTTGAGTAAGAATATAGGTCCCCTGCAACCTATGTTGGCTTTTGCCATGGGGATTCTGGGTAGGAATATAGCTCCCCAGCAACCCATGTTGGCTTTTGCCATGGTAAGGTGAGGTGAAATGGGGTTTAACGTCGCGTCCAAGATTATTGCACTTATATAGCGACGTGCATGTACGTGTGTGTGTTTGTGTGGCTGCTTGTACTAGTCCGGACTGATGCCGATCTATAGTGCTAGCTCACTGAGATACCATGCCGCAGTTTTAACATGAATATCCCACTCAGACACAGTATACTGACTCCGAGCCGACCAGTGCTTGTTTTAGCCCCTTAATGTCGAGCGCCAGACAGGGTAACAAGTACCATCATTTAAACGTCTTTCGGTATGACGCGGCCGGGGATCGAACCCCGGACCTTCCTCTCTCCGGGCGGACGCTCTACCCCTAGAAACAACGGAGGCGGTGCTTTTGCCATGGGGATTCTGGGTAGGAATATAGGTCCCAAGCAACCTATGTTGGCTTTTGCCATGGGGATTCCGGGTAGGAATATAGGTCACCAGCAACCTATGTTGGCTTTTGCCATGGGGGTTCTGGGTAGGAATATAGGTCACCAGCAACCTATGTTGGCTTTTGCCATGGGGGTTCTGGGTAGGAATATAGGTCACCAGCAACCTATGTTGGCTTTTGCCATGGGGATTGCGGGTAGGAATATAGGTCCCAAGCAACCTATGTTGGCTTTTCCCATGCATGTCATTGTATCCTAATTGAGAAGATCGATGCTCAAGGCATCAATCACTGGATTGTCTGATCCAGATTCCATTATTTACAGACTACTGTCATATAGCTGAATTATTGCTGAGTGTGGCGTTAAACAACAAACAAACAATATAATTAAATAAACAGCATTAAATCCTTAAAAGACAACAAAACCTTTTTGTACCATAGTTGATTTATTAATGGTTGATCATCGGGCTTGAATCATGCTGACAACGTACCCTATGAAGTCCATGCCTTTATAACTAGCATCACTAGCTCCTGAGATGGCCTGTTGCCAGGACACAGAGAAGCACATCACATTCACAGGATGAAACAATATTGTTGAATAACAAATACTTAACAGATCTCTTAATGTACAACTACACCATTGACAATTCAGTCATTCGATACCATACCAATAGATTGCTAACTGAGCAAATGATAGTTACATTATACTTTACACCATGTCACTGAGACTGACAAATGAAGAGATTTCATAATGAAGATATCTTGAGAACCATATACATATACTATGGACAATTGACTGCCTTTCTCTTTCATTATATTTATAATATCTGTTTTACCAACACACACACACATATGACACATTTTGGCGGTGCAAATATGTAACACAGAGATGTTCATGTGTTCACTTTCCAATTCCTCATTTACATTTCCCTCTCAAAATATACCCACAGAAAAACAGGAGTGACATGATAATTAGTCAGTGGTTCATCTGATTTGGCGAGCAGGCTTCAAGTATTGGCAAATACTCTGGCCATCCCATTAAGAATCACTGAGGACATTTTATCACCATATTTACCTACACACCTTCAACCAAAACTTACTACCTACCCCTGGTTATACATAACATTGAACCCATAATGTTCAATACCTAATGGTGTGAACCTGCATGTCATTCAATCTGAAAGCTGTCGACAGTGAAGCCTTGTTATCTTGGAGTCCTGTGGACCATCACATACATCCAGAGCTATCTATAGTTAAAGGTAAGCGGATTGGAGATATTAGACCACAGTGTCAATAATCATTCTGCCTCAACACAAATTTGCATTACCTTTTTTCCATTAAAGTTCTTCTCAGTTATTTTACAGGGTATGTTTTGATTGATTCACTGGTAGACTACTTTTGTTGTTTTCTCTGTGTATGAACGAGTGTGTAACAGGAATTAGTTTCTGTTGAATAATGGAAGGTGCATAGTACACCCAAGAAAACCTGGTAGTCATCAATTTGTTCTGACATGTGGTAGACACAGTGGCGATTAAGGATAATTCATGGTCACCAAACGTAGAATTTGGTTGCCAAATAGTAGCGGGTGAGTATGGTTTTACACCGCTTTTAGCAATATTCCAGCAATATCATGGGGGGAGGGGGGACACCAGTAATAGGCTTCACACATTATACCCATGTCGGAAATAGAACCCAGGTCTTTGGCATGACGCTTTAACCACAAGGCTACTCTACCGCCCCGTTGCCAATTAGAGGGCTGATAGTCTTCAAATATAGAGATGGAGCTCCAAGATAACAAGGTTGTACTGTACGCCTTACAAATACATGATGCAAATTATATTCAGAGTACAACATCAACAAAATGTACACCATCACAGCCATGTTGACATGAATCATTCCACTCTGGTATATACATACAGACAAATTAACAGTTACCATGGTTACATAAATATCATCGTGTGCCGTCTTTCACACTTTGGCTACAATGCTAACATTAACCTCATACTGCCATCATGGACATGTAACAAGCATTCATTCACTCCTTCATGTAGGTAGGACAAGAAACAGTTTCAATTCAGAGATTGTTTTAAGACCATTGAAGAGATTATCCATGAACTTACAGCAAAATGGGTTTATTTAGTACAGGACAAGCTGCTGTAGCTGGGATGGTGTTGCCACAAATTACTGTTGTCTGATGACTAGAGCAGTTTGGATATGTTTACGTTGTTTACTTTGGAAACATAATCATGATAATAAAGACAAACAAACAAGTAAACCCTAAGTTACTCTTGACAAGTTAACTTGAATATTATTCAACAATGTTTTAGTCAGAAAAAAAGATAATGTGTTCATTTTATCACAGTTTCTGTAACTGATGGAATATATCGTCGCCAGGCAATGGGAAATATGAAATATGTCACAGTTCCAAGTTCTTGCATTCCTGCATCTCTTAAGCACTGTTTCATCCCAATTCCAATCATTTTCCTGATTTTTTTTTCCCTTCGTCAGAAAAAGTCATAATTTCAGAAATATGTAGCAGTTTAATTTTCACTCATTTTCTCTGGTTTGAATGTTATCCAAATATATTTTGTATTGAATTAAAATTTCAAACTGTCCAGCAACACTTCGGTCAAATGGAACATTTAAATGCAGCATAAAATGCCCTTTAACTTCATAATACATTTAGCTTTAGAACTGGCAGCAATTTAGAATTTCCAATTTGCGCCAATTGTATAAAACTAAAATGACATACAGTAAAAGACCAAAACAAACTAGTAACAAAAGGTTGCAATAACATTCTTAAATCATTGATCTTCCATTCCATTTCCTTAAAACTTGTAGCACTCATCACTACCCGGCCATGTCTCACATTAACACAGTGACTACACCGACAGCTAGTTGGTGAACAGCAGATCTTCATCATGGTCATCGGCCAGCAGGTCGGCAGCCCGCTGGTTCTCCAGCCCGATCTCCTTCTTTCTCCGTGCCTGAAGCTCAGCTGCAGCTATCTTCAACTTCTTCTTCTTCTCCTGGATCTTCTTCAGTCTAAGAAAAGGAAAAATGATGTGAGAATTAAGCAAGTACACCATGATGTTAAGTGGGTGAGTGAGTCAGAGTGACAGTTTTATAATGCTTTTCGCAATATCCGAATCAAATCTTGGCGCCAAGAAGCAGCTTTACACACTGCACCCATGTGGGGAAACGAGCATAGATTCTTGTCGAATGAATGCTTGATATGCGTGATATGTGTGGGAGAGTTGGGTTTAACACTGCTTTGAGTAATATTCCTGTTATATCATGGCGTGTCAGCTTAATGTTGGAGGTAGCTCTCCCGAAGCAATGCACAGGATGCAGGTCTCAGTCGTTTACCACTTTGGTGAAACCCACAAGCAGTTGGATTGTGCTGACAAACCTAGAAACATTACGAGGCAAACCAGAATTCAAACAAACAATCAAATGTTTCCACCATGTTCAAGGGACACAAATCTGCCCAGAAAGTTGTGGTACCTTAGAGGACTAGGGTAACCAGTGCTCCAATCAAATCTTGACGCCAAGGATCATCTTTACACATGGCACACAAGTTCTTGTCGAATGAGTGCCTGAATAACAAGGCTACCCATCTGTCCGTACCCCACAATTAAACATGAAGATATGGCACGCGACATGTGTGTAACAGCTTCACATACATATATTCATCTCTATCATGGAGCCCAGTGAGTAACTTAGTCGGGCAAGAAACTGGTTAATAACACAATGCATACTGCCTCAATAATACTGTAACACATTTTATCACACAAACACACAAGGATAATCGCATTTTGTCAATATTGAATGAATGAATAAATATTTTCGCATCAGCAATATTACAGTTATTTGCTGCAAGTCAATATTGAAAATATGACAATAAATTGTATATTTATAATACTTATCCTATCTCACACTATGCATTTCTCAATCTTCTTTTGATCCTAAGTGGAAACATGCCAAAAACAAGTTTCCAGCTTCTAAAACATATTCACTCAAACACACCAAGTATCACCATGGTCACCTTCCAACAATCTGGGTCATGCACGCTTTTCATGCCAGTCGACCTACACGCACTGAACACGTGATTTCCCCAGCCAACTCATTCTCTTTCTACAACTTAATAGCCTAGAGGAATCATGATGCGGGGATGGGCGGTTTGGCATATAGCGTGTGAGATAGGATAGGTATTATAAACATACAATTTATTGTAAAATTGACAAATTTGTAAACTTATCCTATCGCACACTATGCATTTATCCCACGGTTGGAAGGTGGGGAGCAGCTCCCTAGTCTATAAAAGGCAACAACCGTAGGGTATACACGATGAAGCTGTAGCTAGCAGTGATACAAAACCATAATAAGTTGGTTGGTTTGTTGTTTTAAGCCGCACTCAGCAATATTCCAGCTATATGACGGCGGTCTGTAAATAATCGAGTCTGGACCAGACAATCTAGTGATTAATATCTTGAGCATCAATCCACGTAATTGGGATACGATGACATGCATCAACCAAGTCAGCGAGCCTGACCACCCAATCCCATTAGTCGCCTATTACGGCAAGCATGGGTTGCTGAAGACCTATTCTACCCCGGAATCTTCACGGGTCATGATAAGTAACACTGCCTAGTGTCATGAGTCAAAGCTCGTGGATAGCAATTAAACACTCCCAAAGAGTGTTGTGATCCTGATACGTGAACACATGAAGTCGGGTACCATATGTGTCGCATGTTCATACGTAAGTGAGCGTAACTGTAAAGCCAGACAATACAATGTATGACTTTTAATGGTTTCGGAAATGTATCCGGCCAATCGACTCTACAAGACAAGGGGTATCACTATCTCCCATGGACAATAGGACCTACCAGCTTTTAATCATCATCTCAATAGCATGTTGGGGATTGAATCGATAGGTCAAGAAGAGAAAAGGAACGTCGACAACATCCACAAAAGGATCGTCGATTCACTACCCAACAACATATGCCAAAAGCAGAGGTGAGTGGAATAGAGGATCGGGGCACAAGGATCTGGCCGCGCCTGACGACTTCCAGATAAAGACCAAAGTCTCTACAGACGAGTGAATACATCCTCCCATCGGATACTCAGTCTGAGAGAGCCCCCAAAAATCATAATACCAAGATGTATGGTATCTGGAGAGAGATGTAATACAAGAGAACTGGATCGGGTACACGTCACCCCTAAATGTGCAGATGTGTAGTGGAGACTTTCTGCGAGAACCAATGGCCCAAATTGACACAGACCAAATTGACGCATCAGTCACAGAGATGTCTCGGAGGTAGTGGTATGCGTAAACCATATTGGATTTCCAGAAACATCCGTCCATAAGTGCAGCTAAAGTACAATTAATTTGTGGAGTATTGTGGAGATTTGGACTGATCATGAAGTTGCAGGGATGAAGAATCGTACGTAGTAATGCAATTGGTTTGATCCGGAAGTATGGAGGTGTCTGTAGGTGTAACTTGTTGAAAATGAGCTTGAAGGCTGTCTTTCTTTCGGACCAGGAAGATTGGAGACTAGAAACCCAGTGTCATCAGAACTGTGCCCAGACACTCTATGGGGTTCTCTGCCAGTAATGTATCTATAGCATCTGTGAGAATCGGAAGCTGTCTGTCTTGATATAGGCATTGCAGAGGCTAGTTTGTTGTAGGAAGTGTTGCTATGAAGGGCAGATCATATCTGGTTTGTAGGCAGCATAGAACAAACAAATCGTCCAGGATGGCCCGATTCTTTGCGCCCAGACTCAATCTGCCATGAACGGGTGATGTAACGACCGGAACGGCGTGAGGCGGAAGAGTCCAGTCATTCTGAAAAAGTCATTTGGAGGTCTGGAGCTGTTACTCAGAACCTAGTGGAGGTCTGACTGAGTAGGTGTGAAAACCGGTCATGTATGATCCTTCCTTTGATCTTCAAATCCACTGTCACTAGGAGAGACATGTCACACCGAGCTTCATGCAAGATGGCCTGGATGTACCCACCCAAAAGGGAAAGAGTTGAGCACAGCAGTTGACAAAGACGATTCATAAAATGATCATCCCAGGAACAGTAGATTGGGTGGGTGGGTGCGTGTGTGGTTGGGTGCCTGCGTGCATGGGTGCGAATCCTCAATAGTTTTCTTAGTTTTTGTAGATCTGTCAGTAGTTTATGAGAGCCTGTTCTGCTCTCGACGCTGACATTTAGGAAGGTAAATACTGGAGGATTCATCGGCAAATCAACACACTGAGCACTGCGCGTAAATGTGCTACAGCGTCCACAACAGAACAATCATCATGCAAGAAAGACGCGAGACAATGCATGGGCTGTACATCTATGATGAAAACAATGACAAAGAATAAGACGAAGATTCCCTTGGTGTTTAAAACATGTCACCACAACATGGCGATAAGAAAGAGATTGAGTTGGTTTGGGAAATCATGTGTTCAGCGTGTGTAGGTCAACCGGCATGAAAAGCGTGCATGACCCAGATTGTTGGGAGGTGACTGACCATGGTGATGCAAGGTGTGTTCGGGTGAATTGTTTTGTAGAAGCCGGAAACCTTTGTTTAGGCACGTTCCCACTTAGGATCAAAGACAAATGAGAAATCCACAGTGTGAGGTAGGAAAAGTTTAAAAATTTAAATAATCCAAGAAAAGGTCATATTACTATTCACAACAGTAATTTTAGAAAATATATGGCAATTCAAAGCCTGAGTGAACCGCCCAGTTTATGATACAGTGCCAACTGATCTGCAGCCTTGTTTGTCTACTTACACCCTTACACATCGGGAAAGGGAGAACATTATGCAATATTCTTTTTGCAAGTAACTATCAAATCAGTATTTTGAGATTACAAAAGAGGTTCCTGCTAGATAACCTCAACTGCATATTAAACGGATCATTTTATTGGTGAATGGTAACATTTGAGTATATACTCAATGGGTCAGCTAATTATCTGGAGCCCTGGCAACAGTAGCAGTGAAGCAATACCCTGTGTACTGTTACTTGCAAGGCAGAAACAGTGAAAATACAAGGTAGATGTTTTAGGCTTAAAAAAAGAAAACAAATGGTTCTCAGGCAATGGCTTTTGAAAATATAGTGCGGTCAGGCGGTGTGTTTTTCTACTTAGTTGTTCAAACTAGTATGTAACCAAATAAACAGTTTTGTAGCCAAATACAGTCAACCTGGGAAAGGGCTCCCTACGTAAAAGTATTCCTTCATGGGTAAATTGCTGGAATATAGTATAAATAATTTGACTACCGTTGGAGTTGGAATATTGGAGGATTTTTGTTGGGTTTTTTTTAAAATGGAAAAAGAAACAAAACAGGCGGTGAACTTTATGATGATGCAGGCAGTGTCTGAGAACCAAGACTATTTTTTATTTAGCCTTACATGATCTATATACTGCCTTCATCTTAATACAAACATACCTGTAGAACTCTTCTCTCTCACGTTCATCTAATTCAGTTGTGATGTATGCTATAGTCTTCTCGATTCGTGGAATGATAACTGAAAATTAAAGTCATCATTTTCTATATTAATGTCACAGACTAAACAAGGCTATGTAATATGCCAATATGTAAGGTGGTTACAAGGTGGGCATCAACTTATCACAATACTCTCAGTCTCAATACAAACAATACTCTCAGTCTCAATACAAACAATACTCTCAGTCTCAATACAAACAATACTCTCAGTCTCAATACAAACAATACTCTCAGTCTCAATACAAACAATACTCTCAGTCTCAATACAAACAATACTCTCAGCCTCAATACAAACAATACTCTCATTCTCAATACAAACAATACTCTCAGCCTCAATACAAACAATACTCTCAGTCTCAATATAAACAATACTCTCAGTCTCATACAAACAATACTCTCAGCCTCAATACAAACAATACTCTCAGTCTCAATACAAACAATACTCTCAGTCTCAATACAAACAATACTCTCAGTCTCATACAAACAATACTCTCAGTCTCAATACAAACAATACTCTCAGCCTCAATACAAACAATACTCTCAGTCTCAATGTAAACAATACTCTCAGTCTCAATACAAACAATACTCTCAGCCTCAATACAAACAATACTCTCAGTCTCATACAAACAATACTCTCAGTCTCAATACAAACAATACTCTCAGTCTCAATACAAACAATACTCTCAGTCTCATACAAACAATACTCTCAGTCTCAATGTAAACAATACTCTCAGTCTCAATGTAAACAATACTCTCAGTCTCATACAAACAATACTCTCAGTCTCATACAAACAATACTCTCAGTCTCAATACAAACAATACTCTCAGTCTCAATACCAACAATACTCTCAGTCTCAATACAAACAATACTCTCAGTCTCAATACCAACAATACTCTCAGTCTCAATACAAACAATACTCTCATTCTCAATACAAACAATACTCTCAGCCTCAATACAAACAATACTCTCAGTCTCAATACAAACAATACTCTCAGTCTCAATACAAACAATACTCTCAGCCTCAATACAAACAATACTCTCAGTCTCATACAAACAATACTCTCAGTCTCAATACAAACAATACTCTCAGCCTCAATACAAACAATACTCTCAGCCTCAATACAAACAATACTCTCAGTCTCAATACAAACAATACTCTCAGTCTCAATACAAACAATACTCTCAGCCTCAATACAAACAATACTCTCAGCCTCAATACAAACAATACTCTCAGTCTCAATACAAACAATACTCTCAGTCTCAATACAAACAATACTCTCAGCCTCAATACAAACAATACTCTCAGTCTCAATACAAACAATACTCTCAGTCTCAATACAAACAATACTTTCATTGTGAGTATGGTTTTAAGCCCCATCAATATTCCAGAAATATCCCAGCAGGAAACATCGGAAATATGCTTCACATATTGTACCCAATTCGGGAATCGAACCTGGTGCTTTGGTGTGACAAGCTAACAATTTAACCACTGACCTATCCCACAGCCCCATTGGTTTCATATTTGTAAAGAAAAACGTACATAAAATACCATTAGTCAAGGCTCAAGAAATATCGTATCAAGATCACTGGGTTTGTTCAAGATATTCACACTAAACACGTTTTGCACATCAATAATACAAAGGGAGATAATTCCATTGGATCTCGCTCCAAATATACTTTGCTTGTTGTTTAATGTCGCATTCAGCATACAGTGATTATACAGTGATTGATATTAGGGAGAAAGAACCCCGCTATATGGTTATGATGACACGGACTCAACCAAGTCACACATCCTGATCACTCGATCCACAAAGCCTCTTATGACAAGAGGGGGCACAGGTGGACCAGTTGTCTAAGGCGCCACAATTTGCTGTGCAGAGTTGCGTCCCTTGGGCACGCCAGAAACCTATGATTGTGGGTTCCGTTCAAATCCTCATTCGCCCCGATTACGTTCCTAGGTTTGTCAGCACCATACCTGTGCTCTTGGGTTTCACCGAAGTGGTAAGCTTCTGAGACCTGCATCACTTCGAGCTTTCCTCTCACATTTAGCTGACACGCCGCGATAAAACTGAAATACTGTTAAAAGCGGCGTTAAACCTAACTCATTCACTCACTCACTTATGACAAGAACAGTTTGCTGAGGACCTGTTCTAACCAGGAATCCCTATGTGGGTTTTCTTCTAACAACCCACCATGTTCAATAGCATTGACTCTTCTATTGGTAATTTTGATGACTTCATCTAGGGTGACAAAACATGTCTGCAGCGAGGCCAGCTCCACCAACAGCTGAATAGCGCGAGCGTAGTTCTTCTTTAACTTGTCTATCTGCTGGCCACCTCGAGACAGACCAGTCAACTCATACGCTGCAAGTCAAACACAACATGACATCATTCCCTGTCTGGAACATGTTAAAGAAAAATGTACGCTTTAAGAACCTTTCCAATTTCATTTCCTGTAAGACTGGTATGCACATGACAAACTTTTGATTGAATTTTTCGGCATGATGAATATCAGGAAGAAAATTTATGGATGTCAACTTCTTTATTATGAGGAAAACATAATAAAGAGGTGACATAAATAAATTTTCTTCCTTACATGCATCACTTCTAAATGCCTTTCAAAGACTAGATGATGAATATCTTTACCTATTTGATTTAAAATAAAATGTTTAAATGCGAGCTCTTAACTTGAATGTCAATGAATATTCTTTACTTTTTCTAATTACAAGAAAACCTTAGTGGAACTGTACAAAAAAAATCAAAAAAAATTTGTAAAAGTTTGGATTCAAAATTGTAAAAATAAAAAAAAAATCTAGTAACATTTATTGGAGAGATATAACAGCACTGTATGGTTGGTTGGTTGGTTGGTTTGTTGTTCAATGCCGCACCTAGCAATATTCCAGCTATATGACGGCGGTCTGTAAATAATCGAGTCTGGACCAGACAATCCAGTGATTGACATCATGAGCTTCGATCTACGCAATTGGGATCAATGACATGCATCAACCAAGTCAGCGAGCCTGACCACCCAATCCTGTTAGTCGCCTTTTACAACAAGCATAGTCACCTTTTACTGCAAGCATGGGTTGCTGAAGACCTATTCTACCCCGGAATCTTCACGGGTCCAGCACTGTATGGACTTCTACATATGACGGATGTTCTTTTAGTTATGGTTTGGCTGACAAAAATTTAACAGTATAACAGAGAGATCTGAGATGTGGTGCAGAGGCAGGTGATGCTGTCAGTACTTACAGTCAGCCCCGTCCTGGTAGTGCTCGAAGCTGGGTAAACTCACACCTGGAAGGGAACAAAAACAGTGAAAACAATATCCACAATTAGTTGTCATGTGACGGTGGTCATGATGTGTATAGCAGAGACACCTGATAATAGTATTTTTGAGTGAGTATGATTTTACGCATGTTTAACAAAATTTCAGTCATATCACTGCAGCAGACCACCAATATGTCAGCCATATCATGGCAGAGGGACACCAACAATGGGCTTCACACACTGTATCCATGACAGGCAGCAAACAGAGACCTTCGCTGATGAGCGGCCACTTTAACCACTAGGCTACCCCACCGTCTTCCCTATACTAATTAGCAAGTAAATGTGCAACCATATGACAGCAGGGATCATGAGGAATGTGCCTTACTCACTGCTCCCATTTGGACAACTTTAATAGTATAACCACCACACTACCGCATCACCTTTATACTAATCATTGCTGAAGGAGCAGTACTAAGGAATAATCATCTGAACACAACCACAACCCACTAAATGGCACCAACATGGAACTTCATGGCTACCCCTACCGTAACTGTTTTAACCCGCATCATTTTCAACATTCTAGGGTAACAATGTTATTGATTTTCTCATCAAACACACCTAAACTACACTAATATTACAGGCTGCAGCTTAAGGTTGGTTGGTTGGTTGGTTGTTTAACGCCGCACTCAGCAATATTCCAGCTATATGACAGTGATCTATAAATAATTAAGTCTGGACCAGACAATCCAGTGATTGATATCATGAGCATCAATCCACGCAATTGGGATCGATGACATGTATCAAACCAAGTCAGCGAGCCTGACCACCCGATCCCGTTATTCACCTTTTACAACAAGCATAGTCACCTTTTACGACAAGCATGGCTTGCTGAAGACCAATTCTACCCCGGAATCTTCACAGGGCTTAAGTGTACACCAAGCCCTATATTCTGAACCAGCCCCTATCTCAGCCGGTACAGAATCACTCACCGGCTACATTCTCCCTCTTGTTCTTCACTTTGATTTGAGCTTTGTTGACGTTCTGCAGGACAATATGGTTGAAGTCTCCCGTGGTGAACTTGGCCTCAGCCAGAGAGAAGGCTGCCTCTTTCATCACATCTCCCATCAACATCTTGGTCTACAAGTTTGGGATTTTGTCATCATTATAGCAATTAGTGATCATGTTAGCACGGTTAGTACAGGGTTTTGTTGAGATGCACAAATGTGAGTCCAGTATGGACGAATATTGAAATTGGACGCAGAAAAAGAATATTTCGTCAATAATATAAATTTTTGTACCTACAGCACATCAATAGCCGTTAGGTTGGTTGGTTGGTTTGTTTGTTAACGCCGCACTCAGCAATATTCCAGCTATATGACGGCGGTCTGTAAATAATCGAGACCAGAAAATCCAGTGATTGATATCATGAGCATCGATCCACGCAATTGGGATCGATGAAAGTGCATCAACCAAGTCAGCGAGCCTGACCACCCGATCTTGTTATTCGCCTTTTACGGCAAGCATGGGTTGCTGAAGACCTATTCTACCCCGGATCTTCACGGGTCAGAGCTGTTAGGGTTGTCTTTCATTTCATCCATCAATCATTACCACTGTCAACATGATCAGCGATTCATTTCAGGCTCTAAAGTAATTATGTAAACATCCAGTAAACTACACCATTTCATTACTTTACAGAACCATCAAATTGCCTGCAAAGACTCTTAAAATTAATTATTGGGGGTCAAGTTAAAATTCAGTTAGTAACATTGATTTTTTTATTTGTTTTTAAAGCCACACTTAGCAATGTTCAAGCTTTATGAAGGTGAGCTGTAAATACTGGAATGTGGACCAGACAATCCAGTGATCAATATTATGAGCAACAATCAATGCTGTCGGGGTACGTTCACACGCTATGAACCAAGTCACTGAGTCTGACCACTCAGTATATTTGGTGATCTTTTACAACCAGCACAGGTTGCAGGGCCCATTGAAACACAGATTCCCCACAGGGTTGTTCTTGAATATTATATATAGTACACCATTATCATTATGATACATTATTAATATCCCATGGTTAGTAGCACACCTCGATAATCTTCTTGAGAATGGCTCTGAACCTGAGCGTGAGGGCATCAGCTTTCTTCTTCAGCAGGCTGTGCCCCTTCTGTGCCCCCTTCAGACGAGCCTTCATGTTGGTCAGAGCCCTGCACAAGGTAGTGGTAGAATCAACAACTAATTGTTACACGTTACATCTCACAGAGTAGGGCAGTGAAAAGTATATATCCACCATGCTGTCTGCAACTTCAGCCACCAGTACATGTAGTACAAAGCCCCAAAAAGCACATTTGGTCCAGTAAGCTCAGCTCATGTATATATTTACACTAAAAGCTAAAGAAAATGATGTGCAGAGAATTTATTCATGCTGCTAGATTTTGGCATAGGCTGTACTCAGTGTACACATAGTGTAACATGTGTATGTGCGTGTGTGTGTTCGTGTGTGTACCAGTGCAAGTCTGCACAGTGAACTGCAGCACCACCTATGCCCCCTCCCAGGTCACACAATAACCTATAAGTACATAAATTACCATGATTACAGGTAGAAAGCACCTGCTGATAGAAGGGCACCAATAACAAGAGCCTGAGTTTGATCAATTGCTTGTCAACAGATCATGCTGATAATATCACTTGATGAGTGAATGAGAGAATAATCAAGATAACAAAGAATTTAGTAATATTCCAGCAATATCACACCAGAATAAGCTTCAAACATTATACTCATTTCTGTTAGCAAAACTTGCAACGACTAGGCCCGTGCACCCGAGTTTGACATAATTACAGCCATGTACTGCTGCAGACTAGTGAGTGAGTATGGTTTTACACCTTTTTAGCAATATTCCAGCAATATCACGGCGGGGGACACCAGAAATGGGCTTCACACATTGTACCCATGTCGGGAATTGAACCCAGGTCTTCGGCGTGACGATCGAACGCTTTAACCACTAGGCTACCAAATCGCAACCGGCCGCAGACTAAAGATGACCTAGGTAATGACAGAATTGACTGCCCAAGGCTTGAGCCACACCTAGTGACTCTCCACTCTTCCCCCTGTCGACATGCTGATCTCTCTAAGATGTCCATGAGTGCCATAATAAACACAAGGCCTAACTAACATGACTAACATTGGTTATCAATTGACCAGAAATCATAAAAATATCTGATCTTATTTTTCAAATCAAATATATGAATTTGAACCCCTTATTCCCTGCGTATCAGCACATATGAAAGTTTAAATTTCACAATTTATAAATATGCCCTAGAGGACGAGTCACTGTGTCATTTGTTTTGCAAGGGCATCTTAGTGTGACAATTTTACCGGCGATTGGGCGACCAAACACGTTATATTTTAGCGATTCGGTCAACATTTGGGAATATATGGCACCTTATTGTCTATACTTTATCAAAAACTTTTCTGATATTGTTTCAAATACTTACATCCGAGACGGGAAAACGTTCAATCTGTCTTTGGTTGCCATCTTGTTGATGTATGATGGTGGTCATATGGTACGTCACGTGATTATGCGACGGATATCAGAGTTACTTCCCTTGGGGCATACTTTCGAAGCGGCCATAAAATATAGTTAATCATGATGGTCGGCGTTTTTAACTTTCAGTCACGACTTAGGATATTTATTTCACCGGATAAATGGTTGAGCTGGGACGTCAGCAGTGGAGCTTTACAGCATGTACTCCGGCCAACGATAGGCAAACAATTCGTCCTGGTCTGAGGCATAGTCACAACCTAAAGGTGCAAGGCCAATCCCATTAAAATGAGATCTCAGATCTAAGATCAGATCTGATTTGATTTTTTGAGATTGGTGGAAAGTGTCATAGTGCGTATCCACCAACTTCTATTTTCAGTAGCGTAACATGTCGAAGACGTTTAACACTCTGTTGAAAACCAACAAAACCGGGCATGGTGATTTAAAGACCTAGAATATCATTCTGGTCGAATCGTGATCACATATTAATTAAATGAAGAGACCTTAAAATATTCCCTGTACCGACAGACAATCTGTAAAGTAGACAAGTCAAGATCAAACTGACCCGTGAAGATCCGGGTTAGAATAGGTTTTCAGCAACCCATGCTTGCCGTAACAGGCGACTATGCTTGTCGTAATCGGCGACAAACGGGATCGGGTGGTCAGGCTCGCTGACTTGGTTGATGCATGTCATCGGTCCCAATTGCGTGGATCGATGCTCATGATGTCAATCACTGGATTGCCTGGTCCAGACTCGATTATTTACTGACCGCCGTCATATAGTTGGAGTTAAATAACAAACAAACAAACAAGATCAAACTAACCCAAGTCTAGTTTCCTTGATTCCACAAACAGCAGAAGAGGAAGAGGAGTCTTTTTCATGGACTCGGGGGGGGGGGGGGGCACGGGGGCACGGGTGGCCCAGTCTCGTCTAAGGCGCCGCGATTCGCTGTGTAGAGTTGCGTCCCTTGGGCACGCCAGAAACTTATGGTTGTGGGTTCCAATCCCGGTTCGCTCCGATTATGTTTCTAGGTTTGTCAGCACCATACCCGTGCTCGTTGGTTTCACCGAAGTGTTAAACGTCTGAGACCTGCATCACTTCGGGCTTTCCTCCCTACATTAAGCTGCCAATCCGTGATATAACTGGAATACTGTTAAAAGCAACGTTAAACCCAACTCACTCACTCACTCGCTCACCCACTCACTCACTCCTGGACTCAGTGTTAGTCTACATATATACTGATGGAAACGAACAATGGAAACTATAGGGAAATAAGCTTTAATTCTGTACATTTTAAATAGCGCGTATACAAATTCAACACATGTCAGAAACAAATGTTGAAATGTGTTTTTGAGCATTGGTTCAATGCATTGTACATTTTGGTGGACAAGGCATATCATTTTATTATGTCTAAAACTAGGAGTTCTCTTATTTATTTCCATCAGTATATTTCATGAATCAGTGGCATGTCCAAGAAAAAATGTTCAAGATTCATAATGGTATAGGAGATTTATTTGACAAAAGGTGTGTTTACTTTGATAAAGTCAGAGATTCTACATACAGTTAAACGGTGAAATTGGATTTTCTTAGAAAACCAGAAATATAGAAAGTTGCAAATTATTTTTTTTCAACCTTCTCTATATATTGGGTTCTGAATTGTGGTGCAAAAATTCATCTTTTTGTTAATCAAAGATAACAGACAGTTATGGTTTGTAACGATCTGTTGAATATTCAAATGACCTGACACTTTCGGATGTGGGGGCAATCAATTCAGGCGGGTAGGACGAAAAAATAAACAACCTCCAATATCAAATGTTGTTTTTGATTTCCTCATAATTCACTGTGTTTTGAAGTAATAATATAAACTTTCAACAGGTTTTTATTATAGTATTTTAAATAATTTAAATGATGATTATGGTTTTTTTTAATTTACTTATTTTTGGTCGGCGAAAAAAATAGAACATTGCCCTTTATTTTCTTTCATATTTCAATATTTTGTAGTCACCGGATTCGTAAACCAAATATAAAAAAACAAGGTCTGGGTTGAAATTATATACTCAACAACGAAAGTTCCTGTGACACCAATGTTTTAGTGTAATTTTTAAACAAGTAAAGTTTGGTTTTCAATATTGTAGTACATGCATGGAATCAAGTCACAAAAACGCAACTGCTACAGAAAAGCATGCATTCCATGCAAAAGTTGACATTTATGCAAGACCCATGCATTTCAATACCCAAGAATGGGTATAAAAACATGTGCGTTAAAGGGATTCCATATGCATTGTTTAGCATCGTGCTGACAACAACCACTCAGAAAAACAACAAAATTACGCAATTATTCAACATTACGAAATGCCACGCCTGTCCGAAGATGAACGTCTGCGAGCCATTGGTATGCTTGAAGCAGGATCGAGTCAACGTGATGTTGCAAGACAATTTAACGTCCACAGAAACACCATTTGGTGTTTATGGCAACGTTGGCAACAGACAAATGCAGTCAGAGACCATCCTCGGAGTGGCAGGCCACGAGTAACCAATACTCGACAAGACAATTGGATTCGAACAACACACCTACGAAATCGATTCCAGCCAGCAACAGTGACTGCAAGAAGCATCCCTGGCTTTCGACGAATATCTTCACAAACCGCACGTCGCCGCCTCAGATGTGCAGGGATTGTCGCCAGAAGACCCGCCAGGCGTCCCATTTTGACAGGAAACCACCGTCAAGCACGTCTACAATGGTGCAGACAGCGTCTACGCTGGACGGCCATGCAGTGGGGACAAGTCCTATTCACTGACGAGTCTCGTTTTCACCTCAGCCACAGCGATGGACGGATTCGCTTACAGCGCACGTAACATCCCCAACTTAAGTAAGTAAGTAGGTATGGGGTGAAAATGTGGTTGTGATAGGAATAGTGTGTGAGTGACGCTTTTAACAGTATTCCAGTTATATCGCGGCGTGTCAGCTTAATGTGAGAGGACAGCCCGAAGTGATGTAGGTCTCAGACGGTTACCACTTCGGTGAAACCCACGAGAACGGGTATGGTGCTGACAAACCTAGAAACATAATCGGGGCGAACCGGGATTCGAAACCACAGTCATAGGTTTCTGGCGTGCCCAAGGGACGCAACTCCGCACAGCGAATCGCGGCGCCTTAGACGACTGGGCTACCCGTGTCCCCTGATAGTAATACAGTATATCCTCACCACAGCCCATGATGACCAATAACATCATTATTGGGATATTGCGAGAAATAAAAAAAACACGTCCTTGTTATTAATTGATATTGAGAGTGAGTGAGAGTTGATGCCAGATGGGCACGAGGGGGTCATCAGGTTGCAACAAACCAATGTATTCACCCATGAATGTCGTCCTCTCCGCACTTTCGGATAAAACTGAATGTAACGCTCCCGGAACTATGCATCTTCCCGAGTCAAGGGAGTTAACTGACCTTTACAGTTAGTTAACTCCCTTGCTTCAGGAAGATGGGTACCATGCAGAATTGAAACATGGCTCTCTGGAACAACGTGTCTGAATCGGACGAGATAACCGCACGCTTTATATAACCACCGAGGTATCAACACAACACCCGATACACCGGCACTAAACCAAACAGAATGTGCAGAATATGTCAGTCTGATAACTTGTCATGTTAACGTTAGTCTGACTATATGTGTTTAACGTTTACTCTGTGGTTTCTATTGTTCAAGTTGGATATTTTCCATTCTGTAATATAGACCAAAAGTATCGTATAAATTTGATTTTACCAGTTTTCGATCCATATACAAACAGCTTAAGAAGTTAACCTCAATTAACGTGTTCGTCACATGATGTTGGTATTAGCGCTGTCAATCACGTTTCAGTCCCGCATTGCTGTTACAGTAATCTCCCTGTATTATCTAATATGATATCCATGTTCCATTGATTGTACGATATCTTCTGCCTTTAATAAGCACACAGTGTCATCAAGTTCCTTATCGCCGTCTTCAACCACAGACTTTTCCTGAAATTATGTAACATCCATGAAATGTGACAGGTGGTCGATTATGTATATTTCAGTCCTGTGAACGTTAACAATGTCAACGAAACGGAAACCATACCTCCCAAGTTGTGTATATTCCACACGTGTTAGGAAATGTCAGTCATTACTTGGTAATGGCATGGTTAATCGGCATAATTCTTCTAATTGGGCTCGCTAGTACTGTGACATTTTATAATTGTGCTTGGTTAATATGTTAATATCAAGAATACCACACGTGGGAGAGAGCCTTTTCATGTTTCAGGCTTCTCACATTAACCATCCCAGACGGACTACACCGGTGGAGTTTATACAAAGGTAGGTTAGCTGATTTGGTAACGTGGGTTTGATTAGATAAGATCTGATAAGATAATATATATTGCAGAAACATTCCTTTACGGAACCGATGCAATATTGTTGACAAAACATCACACACACACACACACACACACACACACACACACACACACACACACACACACACACACACACACACACACACACACACACACACACACACACACACACACACACACACACACATACAAACACAAAAACACGGTAGTATAACTGTTGACTGTGATTATCGTTCGTTAGCAAAGGCTTAAAGGCTATTGAGACTCCAGCCTCTCTTACCCAAGCCTCGAACAGAGAATATGCTATATGTGCCTCTCTGTGCATTCAAACATTCCTTTTATTTGATTTTATAAGAATCATTTATGTATTTATTCTATATTTATTTATTGAAAGATAACACATATCTCTTATCTTATCTTATCTTATCCTAAGTATACAAGGTATTGTACATGTTCTGAGACACTTTGCTGGGAAGGCCGAATGGTTCATTCTTGGTGTCGCCCTGTGATATGGCTGAAATATTGCTGAACGCGACGTAAATACATATTCACTTACGCATTCTACGAAGGCATAATGTTCATAATCAGTCGAAGCAGTTGGTCCGCTTATTAATATGTAAATAGTCATTCATACATGTATATTTCAAATTTTCCTTATAGGGAAAGGGACATTATTCAGAAAAAAACACCTCTTTTTTTATAGAAGCCGCTGCTATGGATATAATGTTCGTTTAAAAATGTGTAATTTCCAACAGGAAATTATTTGTCCTTTTTTCTCCGTTATGTTTGTAAATGTATCCTGAAAAAAATAACCAGCGTTTGAACTTGATGTAACTTTACTTTGGTCCTGACATTTTGAAGCACCGAGCCACCGAGCCCTTCGTCTCTGTTGACGTCAAATGCCCGTGGTTCATCCACACTGTCACGATTGTAGCTATAATAGGTCTCCGCTTGATGGCCGTTGACGACAATATTTATGGTAGCGTTCAAAATGTCAAAAGTTTGTGGCTACATGTGAGATTATCAGTAAATTGAGACGGAGTCAGAGGAAGGGGTTACTCACAGTGAGTTACGCATACCGAATACGTGTGTCATGCATCGTGAACTCTGTCAAATACTACGGATGTCCCTCCGGCATGACTGAGACCTAGGATTCTGTGTTCGAACCAAGATTTGCCCTGATTATGTTTCCAGGTTTGTCAGCGCCACACCCGTGGGTTTCACTATACTGGTAAACGTGTAAGACCTGCATTACTTCCACATCAAACTGACCCGCCATGAGCCGTCGGTTCGATCCCCGGCCGCGTCATACCAAAATGCGTTAATAGATGGTACTTGTTGTTAACCTGCCAGGCGCTTGGCATTAAGGGGCTAAAACAAGGACTAGTCGGTTCGGAGTCTGTATGATGTGTCTGAGTGGGGTGTTCATGTTAAACTGGTGTATCAGTGAGCTAGCACTGTAACATCGGCATAAGACTAACACACACACACACACACACACACACACACACACACACACACACCTGCATGCACGTCGCTATATGAGTGCAATAATCTTGGACGCGACGTTAAACCCAATTTCACCTCACCTCACCTCACCTCACCTCACCTCACCTCACCTCACCTGCCATGATACCACTAGTTGATACAAAACGGCATGAATATAGGACATCTGATAAGAAATAATCATGGCGACCTCCACGATATAATGTTCTGGTAGTCATGAGTGTGTATAAGAGCTCTTACTTTTCATTGATGTTTAAATTCAAATATTTCAAATAATGATCGGAAACAGCTTCATGAAATGAAAGGACAGGCCTTGCAACACTTATATAATTTCCTTCCGCCCTTAATAAGGCACTTCACAATGAGAGATGTTAACATTGGTCATTAATATCAGATGACTTTGAGGGATGCTGCTACATTGTAATGATGGAGGCAGGCTATGTTGATGGGATGTCCACATTCTGATCTGCAGGCACGGATACAGATGTGTAGTGATGGTGTATATACGTGTGTGCGTGTTATAAAAGAACGAAGGAAGGGATGGAGGAAGGAAGGATTGAAGGAAGGATTGAATAAATGAAGGAAGGATTGAATAAATGATGAAGGATTGAAGAAAGGAAAGGAGGAAGGAAGGAAGGACTGAAGGAAGGGGGGAGAAAGGAAGGATTGAAGGAGGATTGAAAGAAGGAAGGATTGAAGGGAGGAAGGAAGGGAAGGAGGAAGGATTGGTGGAAGGAAAGATTGAAGGAAGGATTGATGGAAGGAAGGATTGAATGAATGAAGGAAGGAAGGATTGAAGGGAGGAGGAAAGATTGAAAGAAGGAATGCATAGGGGAAGGATTGAATGAATGATGGAAGCATTGAATGAAGGATTGAATGAATGGATGAAGGAAGGAAGGATTGAAGGAAGGATTGAATGGATGATGAAGGAAGGAAGGAAGGATTGAATGAATAAACATATTAAAGGGGTTATAAATGAGAAGGATGTTTTCCACATATTAAATACGCTATATGACAGGGCATCCTTCTCTTATATAGATGAACAGAAATAAGACTACACACATTTAAATTGTAGAATGATGTTTATGGAGGTGGTCAATCAAATGCTTCACCTTTTAAAAATATACCATTAAATGTTATGTCATTTTACGTTGTGTACACGCTTTGGGTTACTTCAGAGAACATGCGTTATTTCATACCATAAACATTCTCCACATTTTAGCTGTTCCCTTACTTCTTTTCAACAATATAGGTATTTAGTTGGAAGAAACTCACAAACCATTATTTATGTGCATGTTTTCGGCGGGGGGGATGTTACACGGAGTAGAAAAAATGATTGACATTTTGTAATCCTTTCGTCTGTGTTAGCTTATTGACAGACCAGATTAGCCAACAGGGGACGTGTCAATATCAAAAGAGACAGAATATTTACGCCATTGTTGAACACACAAAAGAACACACACAAACAATTGTCCATATAATGGCTTATTTCATATCAGACCCGTGAAGATCCGGGTTACAATTGGTCTTCAGCAACCCATGATCGGGTGGTCAGGCTTGCTGACTTGGTTGATGCATGTCATCGTATCCCAACAGCGTGCATCGATGCTCATGATATCAATCACTGCATGTCTGGTCCAGACTCGATTATTAACAGACCGTCATACAAATGGAATATTGCGTTCAACAACAAACAAACAAACAATATTTCATTCCAAAATCTATTGTGTGGTGAGGTGTTGTGAGGAGAGGTGAGGTGAGGTGAGGTGAGGTGAGGTGTGGTGCGATATGGTAAAATGAAGTTTAATGTCGCGTTCATGATTATTGCACTAATATAGCGACGTGTGTGTATGCGTGTGGCTGCTTGTGCTAGTCCGGACTCGTGACGGCTTTATACTGCTAACCCAATAAGATACCATGCCGCAGTTTAACATGGATGACCCGCTCAGACACAGTATACTGACTCCGAGCCGACCAATCCCCGTTTTAACCCCTAAATGCCGAGCGCCCCGCCAGGCTGAGTAACAACAAGTAGAATTTTTTTACGTCTTTTATTATGACGCGGCAGGGGATGGAACCCTCGACCTCCCGCTCTCTGGGAGTCGCTCTATCCACTAGACCACGGAGGCATATGGTCCCTCTATCAATACACTTCTGATACTCTCACACGCTGCATGTCCAACAGTTACAAAGCAAAGGGATAGCTAGAGGAGTGTTAGAATCAATCACCACCCTAAGATAAGCCTTCTCAGATGAAAGACATGTGCCGGAGATGAAAGCTACTTGTGTTTAGCTGCTTTACTGACCGCAAACTGGACATGCAATAGCCGCAGTAAGTGACCAACCATATCATCGCCATCTGCCATTTGTCAGAGGCGTCGTAAGACGACCACAGCCGTTGTCCGGTTAATTGCTTTCCGGACAGTCCGGCCGGGTTAACGGATTTAAACGATGGTGGGTGGGGCCGCCGAAATAATTACGCGTGTGTTGACAGAAGGAGGATGTGCTTGCCCGGTAGAGATATAGTCTGAATATTGGGTCTTGTCATGCTTGTGTTTTTAATTCGAATCAATGTATGGAGTAAAAAGCCTGTCGGCCAACGCCAGCTGTGAACGTGTCTTACAGTGAGAATGGATTCATGCCTTTCAACGCGTTTCGATCATGTTTTGTTGGTTGTAAAACGTGTTGCGATCGGCGAATAGAAGGAAATGCCGTCTTCAGTATAAACTCTTTGTAGACACGGAGTAGCTAGAGACTGTGTGCTATGTTGATTTACTTTTCTTGTCGCTATGGTATGATTATTGGCACATGCGTCACTTTATTACACTCAGGCATGAATGAAAGGGAATGAAATCTGGGAACGTTTTTTTTACGCGTAGTATATGATTTTCTACCGTTGACATATTTTTCACACATGTTTGACGACAAGTAGCTGGAAAGTTCTTGACCTCGAGACTTGACTGACATACGTAAAACACTTCGCGTACTTCTAGGATTCCCTTTTCCCGCCATTCCCAACCCGGCCTGGCATCATATCGTCTGCTTACACAGTAGCAGACGAGCTGGCATACAGGCAGCAGGAGATATCGGGTTCCACGTGTGGAATCTCCTCGTCCAGGCTAGGAGAGGCTCACTTGCTTTCAGCAGAGACGGAGAGAGTTCTCCAGCTTTCTTCTATTCGCTCATGAGACTCGGAGAGCTAAGTTCAGTTCATCTTCGCTCGGTGTTTGTGGAGCTGTTTAATTTCTCTTCAGGTCTGTGAACTTCCAGTGATAACAATTGATGGAAGCTGCACCGTATGATAACGTGGAGTTCCCGGTCAGAAAGCCAGGCACAGGGACGTGGCCTGGACCGGGACAAAACGCCGCGGCGACCTCTTCGTCGGTAAAGACAGTGCATGTGCAACAGTCGACTGCGAAGGACGGGAGAGTGGGATCCAAGTTGGCCCCACTCATGGAAAGTATGGAGGTAGCGGAATCGGAAGATCAGAGGATGCAGGCAAAGATGTTCCACTCTTCACAGTTAGGATCCCATTCAACGGTAAGATCGATATTTCAAATGAGGACGTTAGGGGAGCTGTGGCGATTAATCAGTTACGCGAGTTTCTGACAGCTATGTTAACCAACAGCATTCAAAAAATAATTTGTTTGTGAAATCCATCTTCGTCCTACCATGTCTTTATGTTTCATTTCCTTTTACTGTTGCGTACGTTGATATCATACTTTTGAAAAACGTTCTACGGGTAAGTCAGAGGTCACGAGGTTTTATGGAACAAGCGAGTGTATTACTGTATAACGATATAAACATTTGAAATTGTCAGGCTTTCACTTGTACTGGGAGTGGCAATGTTCCTGATGTGCTGTGAGTGAATCATTCCCTTCATTTTTAGACAGGCGTGCCCTTTATATATTACATATATCAGTTGCAATTTCCGAACTTCTGACGTTGTAATTTAAACAAGAAATGTCAAATAAAACCCTATACTCCATGTGTCCCGTACAAATAACTACATTCCACTCCACCCTACTCCACTCCGGTCCGCTCCATACTTCTCCACCCAAATTCACCCCTTCCTACTCCACTCCACTCCACTCCACTCCACTCCCACTCCACTCCCACTCCACTCCACTCCACTCCACCCTACTCCACTCCATCCTGCTCCACACCAATCCACCCCACCCCAACCCCAACCCCCCCGCTCCACTCCAATCCACCCCGCTCCACTCCAATCCAATCCACCCCACCCAACACCACCCCGCTCCTCTCCACTCCGCTCCACTCCACTCCACAGGAACTCGTTATTGGTCAGTAAATAAAATCTGTACCCCATATACGTGCATACGTATTTACTGACGAATAATGAATTCATGTGACTCCACACCTCTCCGCTTTATTCCGCCAGATCCTGATATATCTATTATAGAAAAACACCTCGTCTAGACAATACCATGCGAAACGATAACTCGTCACATGTGCACACTATTTTATATAGGCATCCGTAGTGGTTCATGTAAAGGATACAGATAAACCAATGGTATATCATTGCAAGAACCAAGCATGACATATCTGAAATACACGACACAACACAGACACGTACATTGCAAACCCTGCAGACCCAATAATCATGCCTTTCACAAGGTAAAAGCAATTGGCAAGTAACACCACATGTCGAGCAGCACGCCGGTAGTTGCCAGATCGTGTTGTCTCAACACTACATATACCATCCACACGCTGTACTCGCCATCACAGGTGGCCATGTGGGTTGTGTCTGGGGTCACCGATACACGCCACCCTGCTGCGCGGACTTGCCCGGGACCCTCAGTTATATAGAGGGGCATCCACTCTCATCATAGGGCGTATTTTTCAGTTCTGGGTCACCTGCCTTATAATTTCATGATTAACGACTTCAATTAGCAGAATAATCGGAGAGTTATTTTACGTCAATGCCAACATTCGCCATTAGAAAGTTCTTTGACTGAAAGAGAAAAGTGTTAGATCAAGGAACTGTGTTTTGGAACCGGAGTGGTTATATTTGTAAAGAAAGCTGTTGTTATGAAGGATTTAAATTAAGAAGCCACTAAGCACTATTTTAATGAAGGGTCAATGATAAATACACACAAATATAATCATTTTGGACTATCAGAAGAAAACAAATACATCCAAACGTGCCAAGCTAAACTATTTCAAAATACCCTGCTTGGGTCAAGTTTCAACCAGGAGGCACCTGCTTGGGTCATAGGACGAACTATATCAACCAGAGGCATTTGTCTGGGCCATGTATATTAATCAGGGAGCACCTGCTTTGGTCATGGGGTCAACTATTTCGAACAGTGAGCACCAGTTTGGGCCATAGGCCCAATTAGTTCAATCAGAGGACACCTGTTTGGGTCATAGTTCCAAACATTCCATACAGGTGACATATGCTTGGGACAATAGGTCAACTATTTCACCCAGAGTGCACCTGTTTATATCACCGGGCCAACTATTTCAGCCAGGGGGCAACTGCTTGGGTCATAAGGCCAAATATCTTTAAACCAGGGGGCACCTGCTTGGGCCATAGGACTAACTATATCAACCAGGGGCATTTGTTTGGGCCATAGGGCCAAATATATTAATCAGGGAACACATGGGTTGGTCATGGGGTCAACTATTCCAAACAGGGAGCACTAGCTTTGGCCATGGCACATGCTATGTCATACAGGGTGCACCTGTTACAAGGCCAACTGTTTCAGACAGTGACAACTGCTTGGGTCCTAGGGTCAACTGTTTCAACCAGGGTCACCTGCCTAGGTCATAGGACCAAGTACTAGTCTATCAATCAGGTGGCACCTGCTTGGGTCCTAGGGTCAACTATTTTAACCAGGGGGCACCTGCCTAGGTCACAGGACCAACTACTAGTCTATCAATCAGGTGGCACCTGCTTTGGTCAAAAGGACAACTGTTTCAACCAGGGGGCACCTGCCTAGGTCATATGACCAACTTCTAGTAGATCAATCAGGTGGGACCTGCTTTGGTCAAAGTGACAACTGTTTCAACCAGGGGGCACCTGCCTAAGTCATAAGGCCAAGGATTTCAACCATACAGGGAAGACCTGTTGAAAGCACAAGCATCAACTACCTAATGGCAAGGTATTTTGAAACAGGGAAACCAGGATTTTCGTTATTTTCCGTTCGGCCCAGGGACTCTTTTTCAAAGCTTTTGTCACAGACTGTAATTATTCACCAAGTAAGCTTTCTTTTTCTGCTTGACGGCAACCAATCCCACCAAAAGGGCGTCTATTTTCTCCCGTAATGTAAGATACAAATGTCGTGGCGACATATGGTATAAGGTTGATGTGTGGCGTGGCATTTGAGGCCCAGCAACACCAGCCATGTCCAAGACCTTTCGCAGAACCAGTAGCAGACTTATTCGATGCTATGTCAATAAACCACTTATGCCCAATCTTACCACTGTCGGATACAGCAGTTGCATTCATCTCGTTATGTCTGGCATTAATTACCAAGGTTAGGATCAATCTGCATGTAGACTGACATCTAGTACCAGAAACACAGTAATCGTATTAATGAATATATATCTACAAAGTAGAACATAAAATCCAATGGTGCCCAAATTTCAGGCCTATAGCTGAGGAAATCGAGACTTGCCAAATCATTCTAGGTTGAGTTGGATTCATTTGTAATATATTATCTAGGGTCTGGGAGATAGACTAATCTGCAAGGTGCCCGAATGTTCGCTTTCATAATCTCAGGAGCCAAATGTTTCTTACACAGGTCCTAAGATGTTCTGATGATGACAAATAAGTCTACTCTGCTGTACTTGATTGGTATCGAGAGGTCGCGAGGTGCAACCTGCGGTTAAATATGTCAGACAGTGTTTGACACACAATGAGGAGGGGTGCGAGTGAGCTCATCTCCGCCTTGGAGAGTTAAATCATGGTATGTATTGTTCACGTGGAAGGAAATCAGAAAGAGCGACAGGCCATGGGGGTTTACAACTTAATAAAACACTCGAACTGACAAGGAACATTATTGAAGCGATTCTGGGATTCGAATTCGCAGATCCTGGCTTGTCAAAGGGCCGCATTTCAACACAACCTACAGTTGACATTAATAACAAAAATCTTTTTTAACATCCACATAGCAGTTATTCTTATTGTACCGATTTTGAATGGTCACTGTCATAAATGGATTTTTTGTGTAATTTTCTGATCTAACAGTGAAGGAGCAGTGGGGTAGCCTAGTGGTAAAAGGGTTCGCTCGTCACACCGAAGACCCGGGTTCGTTTTTAGCACTATTCCAGCAATATCACGGCGGGGGTCACCAGAAATAGGCTCCACACATTGTACTCATGTGGATCCTCAACACGAAGAGAGAACACAGCGATATGCGCGTTTTTTTCACAGTCTGCAATTTAGTAAACTCGTTGTAAACGTACGCGCATCACATTAAAACGTTAATAACTGCCCTAACCTAACAGAATACGTAGGTACCGAAATTCCGCTTGTCTCGAAGTATAGACAACTATATGCATTCGCGATGGCCATGGACAAGTTAGAGTTCACAGTTTACAAATGTTACCTGCTTTGGAAACTACACGTCCTTTAACCTAGAAACTGTTCTCCTTTGAACTTGGGAAGTATGCTTTTTGTACCTGTGATCATCATCATCATCATCATTATTATTATTATTATTATTATTATACAGAATCAAATAACGTCCAGCCATTCTGTCTCATGGTTTAGACACCCATAACTCGGAATCAGTTGGCTGAATAGAGCCATTGTGGTAATATAACGGTGTTATGGCCTATTATATCAAACCGCGTCGTCTTCAGTGAAGGATATCCCTCTTGACAAGTATATTTCTTCATCAAAGGATTTATTCTCTGGCAAACTAGGACGTAATTATCCCTTGCTGGGAGGCGTTGGACTGCCCAGGCCGGGGAGTCCCGGATCAATAATAACTGTCCCTGGGGACGTATGATTCCATCACATTGCATCACAATGAAATGTAGAGTAGCTCCTGAGTACTGAAGGGACATTATACACTTGCACAGGTCTCTAATGAAATAAATATTAGTTTAAATCCCAATTCCCCGATGATGTAAATGTTATGAACATGTTGTCACTATAAAGGATTGGCGTCCTTCTTGTCCGTTTATTTAGACTTGCCGAATATAAGGATAGAATTACTATACATCCATAGACCTATCATTCAGTACAGCCTTGGAGCAAGGCTAGGGACACTGCACCCCAGCATCATTCCCTGTCACTTTGAATTACGAACTGACCTTGTTATTTGGTTCTATGTAACTTCGTCTCAGGCCTCCATTGTCTCACAGCTATTCAATCTCATTACCATCTCATCGGAGATGGCTGTCTTGTTTATACTGATTTAGCATAGTTGCGTGAACGCATTAATGTTGTCATACAAAGTGGTGGTACGCCCACCCGCGTACACACGCACACATTCACACAAAGGGATATTGCGCCAATGATTTGCTGAGCTGGAATAGTTTTATTTCGGACAATTTCACTTTGA